CGATTCTAAAGGTCTAACGGAGACAATGCGCATGCAAAAGTTCTCTGTTACGGTCTGTTTGACATTCATGGTACCGATTCGCACATGGGCCGGCGTCGTGCAACGTCGCGGTACACACACCTTACATTAAAAAATATCTTGTCCCTCCTTTTGTACAAGCGATATCTCATCCTCGGTCGTTCAGTGTGGTGTTACGTGTCTCCGAAATGACCACTTTGCGTAACTCGACACGTGCTAACTCGACAACCGAACGCGCGATTTTTCCGAGAAACTAACGCTTATGCGCGGCGCGAATAAATCCATTTCACACGTGTCAAAGTGACACACATGAGGAATTAGTTTAGCTCACGTTAAAAAGCAGATTAACGAGCGTGGTTGTCAGAATCGCGCGTTTAAACGGCGACGTGGTGATTCCACGGCTGAAAGCCGGGAATTTCTGCACGCAAACGTGAACGCTAATAAATAGTGGCTATTATAATTTGTATGGGATATATTCTTCTCGGGAGAGACGTTGGCACGGGAGTTCCAATTTTTTTATCCTCGCACGCTTCTCTCGCTTGCTTGAGAACCGGTTTCATATCGACCACGTTTACATGCGCGTCTCAAAAAGGAGGCGCGAGACGTGAGTCGACGAGAAAGAAGCGTAAGGTACCTTTCGGCGAAGCGCAAACACTTTATTTGATATTCGGCAGTGGAAAGGAAAGGAAACAGAGGAATCCCGGCGCGAAATCAGCCGAAGGATAATCGCAGTCCTGACTTGAATCGCAATTATTTGCCATTAAATGTTACACCGCAGCGTATCCGATACGTTACGTGTATCTTTGTCATTGATTCTCTAATCTGCCCGATTTCCATGTAATTCCCACGCGATTTCCGAGCTAATTAGTAAGGTTTGCGGAAGGTCTACGTCATGGCGGGGTTAAATGCTCGCTACATGTCAACAAAGCTGGACTTAAACTTAGACGAATGTCTATTTGCTAACATAGTTGCAAATGAAATTGCAGTGCATCACGATTTGATAGCTTTGGCTTTAAAAAGATACGGATGTTTTTGGATAAGTATAAGAAGTCGAATCGTACGAATATCATAGTAAAAAGACCGTAATGGGAGATGATGGGAAACATCACGTTTTCTGGGATAAGGACGAGGAAAAAGATTTCTTCATGTAAGTTTGCTTTTAGCATACCCATTTTGTCTAGCTCGCATTTTTCATTGCGATACTCGTAAATCGTGGTTTTACGCTCGTTTAACGCAATCAGTGTCGAGTATTTGGCGTTTCGTTGTGTATATCAAGATGTTTATGTGAAAAGATTTAATTCTTAGCGGGAGTAAAACCGTTGCAAAACAGATTTTATCCAACGACTCCATATAAAGCGACCAGCTCGCCTTGACCGTGACTATAATTATACATGCAAAGCTTTTTTTTTTTTTAAATGTAAAGACACAGAAACCTAATCAGAACATTATACATTTGTTTGAAAACAAATTTATTTCTCGACATGACTTATCGCTGTCGCGAAGTTTATTTTATTTCTCTGTTATCCAAAAATAGAAATGCTCGCTGAGTGACGAAAGGGCCCTTCGCTTAATTTGTACGTTAAAATATGCTCTGTCGAAATCGATATCTACATTTATAGCTTTACACACATCGAAAAACACCACATATTCAATATTCTTTCGAAATGTTTTATGAATAGTATATATCATTCACGTATTACGTTTTACTAAAACTGCCTCCAAAACAAATATTTCTGACTGAACGTGAAGTAATTAATTAATCTTTGCTCGTTACGCGATTACGGGATCAAGGATGTTACTCGAATGGTAATGCAAACGGATAATTAAACAGTACACTACTTATACGCTACTTACCATTAATAGAATGCTATCGCTAAAAGATACTACAAGTACTACGAGCAGCGTAATAAATTTTTCTGATTTGTGTACACATTGTCAATAAAAAAAAATCAGTTAAAGATGCCAGTGACGTTTCTTTCGGAATAATTTAATTTATTTACCGTAATTTACTTACTGTAACGATAACGCACGACCTCTCGTTAGGCTTTCGCGAAGTTAATTAACACACGAACGGTGAAGATCCAACACGTTAAATCCGTACGAACATCATCGCTCGTATCCTATTCACCGTCCACGTCATGCTGAATTACGTTACGCACATTCACATACGTATTGCACGCAATACAGTTATTCCCGTATCGTGGCACACAAAGCTGAATCCTTCTCTGTTTTTAGTCAGTGGTTGCCGCCGCCTGTCGTCGATAAATCTGTGCAGTTTTCCAAAGCGGCTTTCCGATCTTACGGAAATACAATCGCGGCCAATTATGCATCATCGCCCGATGACGGAGCTGAATACTCGACATGCGTTAACGAAGCGTGAAATTAAAGAGACGAATGTTTGTTAAGTGCGTAACGCGATACGATCACGGGCCACGGGTGATTTTTCGATCGTGCTTCGGCGACGATTTGGCGTCAAGATATGTTCGGTCACGGTAAGTCGCGCGGTCATGGCAAGCCGAGGAAGGGGTCCAACACCAAGAAGCATCACATTCGCAATTGGATGCACTCGGGGAAAAAGAAAAAGAACGAGGCTAACCTCTTTACGTAAGTCCAAGTTTCCGTTTTCATCGAGTTCTCCTAGTTCGTTACACGACATGGCGCGCGTCGCCAACTCTCGTCGCTACCTCTCGCCTTTTCGTTCTCGCAAAATCCGGAGCTCCTGGAGTCGAGCCCTATTATTCCGCTTATTTGTCTCGGCGCGACTCCGATCTTCCGCGATGCGGAAAATAAAAGTTAGTCCGGCGTCGCCCGTCGCGTTTCCATTGTCTCGCGTCGCGGGGTACCGTTTTTTTTTTTTTTTTTTTTTCCGTTACGTCCGCGATTCTCAAAGGAAACGCCCACGTCCGTTTCGATGAATTTCAATTCACGCGGCAACTCCTCGTCCCTTGTCCCGCGTGCCACGCGTGTGGCGAACGCGCGCGCGCGTGTGTGTGTGTGTGTGTGTGTGTGTGTGTGTGTGTGCGTGCGTGTGATGTGCGCACAGGCATCTCCTGCGTGAGCAGCACGGCGACGAGAGATCGTCCGAGATGCTTTCCATGCAGTTTCGATCCTATCCGTCATCGATCGCGACGCTCGCGACCGTACCAACCGGCATCAAGCCGGTGAACCGCTCCGCTCGTTTGCAGAAACGCTCGGGTTACCGCGAACAGTCTGCTTTCTGAATCAGCGGGAACGATGCGCCTGAAAAATCCGTTGTGGCAGCATGGAAGCTACGAGTAAGTTGAAAAGGAAAAGAATGTTCGGTGAACGCGTTGTAGGTTAACCCGTCCTTCGCCCATCCTGTAATCCTATCACGTGTTCGTCCGGTTGAATTCTTTCTCGCAGGAGCGATGTGTGCGGTATGGCATGCACCGGCACAAAACCCGGATACTATCCACCAAATTTATCCGCCTCGTCATTTCGTTTGTTCAAATTATTAGTCTGTTCATTTTATTTATTATTAATTTGCGAAGGCTCTTTTTTACTTTCCGTTTACGGTTACGGAAATTTTGACTGATCGCTCTAATAATCTGATCTTTGTAACCTTTTTCAATTTATGTTAATTACGTATATTTGCAGTGCCTAATTAAAAATTTAGATGTGTTTTATGCTATTTACACTGCGATAGTAATGTAAATGTTAAATTATTGAGTAAAGATTAAAGGTCGGAAATGTTATTTTTATTATATCAGAAGCATTAAGATAATTTTTAGTACGTAAATAGACAATGAGATAAATAGCTTTGAACAAGAATCAATTAGATCGACACAATACTATGATAACTTTCTTTGAATTCCGTGCTTCGATCAATACCGTACAAAGGTTGGTATTTGTAAATACTTCATGAGAGGAATCGTAAATGTGATCTAGTATGGTCGGATTCATTGATTTCGAAACTCTATTAGTGGGAACCGGGTAGCCTACTTTCTCACCAATGACCATTTTTTTCGTGCATTTATCGAACATAATTTGCAAAATACAACGTAATGATATAAGAAATAGATGACTATAAGAAATAGATGACTATAGAAATAAATTAAGTATTTCCTTTTTAATTGTAATAATTTTTTATATAAAGTCTATTTTTCATATAAGAATACATAACATTAATTCTTTTAATTATACCCTTGATATTAATAGTTGGTTTATAATATTCATTCCTATTTTGTAATAATTTTACCTCTTTTTTATATTATATTCTAATATAATAATAATTCTAATATACTAATATAATTATTATTCTTTTTGTGACTATTAAATACAAATTATCAACCCCCCAAATACCGCTTATCAACAAATACAAAATGCCAGTTACTTGAGAAACATTTTTTAACTGGCTCTTAATCTTGAAATTAAACAATTATATATTGTGGAATTAACTTCCGTTAATTTTATCTATATATTTTATTTCACGCGTGAAATCTCCAGGAATGCCTGATACGGCACTGACACGTGTAACACGTGTAAGCTCATCCAAGGGTGGGATAACGTTCTCAGGGCTCAGGCCCGACAGTTTCACGACGACCGTTGACGGTGCATGATTACGGTACCGGTACACGTTTCGCACAGTCAGCATTTCGATTCAAACTTTTACATCTATTCAGTCTAATGCTTCAGTCTCGATCGTTTGTGGGCAAGTGATATAAAAATCGCCAGAGATATCTTACGTGCTTAGTAAACGGAAAATAATGATTTGTAACATCACATGTTTGAAACACGTATGAAATCACGCCATCATCATTAATCATTCTCTTATTCCTCGTTCTTTATTAATTCAGTTATCTTACGAGCCGATTAATTTTTGTCATTGATATTTTAATTATTAATATTTTATTATTTGTTATATATCATTATTATATATTGTATATCTTTCTAATTGCTAATAATTAGAAAATAAATTGCAAGTTGGGAGCAAAAGTAAATTTTTGATGCCAATATAGGCAAGATTAAGTGGAGCTAGCTTGTTGACGAACTTGGAGCTCGTTGTTAAAAATAACAGAAACTTACGCTTGTGTAATATTGTATTGCGGCATTGATTATCATGATAGCTGTTTGTATTTCATCATGAATTTGCTGCACGCATAGTATAACATATCAATTCGATAAGTTACATACATATATTCCAAAAGCATTTTTACTGCAATCGCATTTTATTCCTCGAAAATTCCATTCGTTTCTACGTCGAGGCTTAATTATCAGTCTTTTAATTTAATTCACGCGTTTTTGTCAGCGGAGCTGTAATTGTATGCGCGTCACACACTACTGATTATCGCCTTGACTCTGCTCATAAGTTTTTTTCTTCAAAAACAGTAAATTTCGTATATTAATAAAACAAAAGAACGAAAGATCGTATCAGAAATTTTTATGAAATTATGCTATCATTATTGGTTATTGATTATCAATATTGAACTTTGATGCTTCAAATGATTATTCAAAAATAGAAATTAAAATTTATTCAGCGTGAAAATGTTTTATTACTTAACTTTAATGTACATTAAACGTCGAGATATTGAAATAATCACGTAATACTTTTTTCAGCTACTTTTAAAAATAATTTATATTATTTTTAATTATTATATAATTTTCAACGTTAATTTATTTTTTAATTGTCCCGTATATTATATTATCTAATTGATTCAAGAATGCACATAATTGCAATTTAGAAGAATTTTATACGAAGAAATCATGATTTTCTCTTTCATCTTTGTTCCATCAATCACCGAGTAGAAAAATTACGTCTGCGCGTAATTCTATTGTCATCTACGCATGAAGAAACGAAGGCTACGCATTGACTTTGCAAAATAGTTTTTATATATTGGAACGAAATATTTCAGCTGCGTCGTATAACAGCTGCACTTTTCTTTCAAAGCTTGACCTAGGCGAACACAATTGCAAAAGGGAGGGAGCAAGGACTCCCTAATGTGACATACCTAAACCTTAGTTTTACGGTACTATATGGAATTTATTATTTTCTCGAATATTTTCTATTAATGACAATTTTATCGGTTATACTTCATACATCTACGTTGAAAAAATTGTTTCGAATAATTGATTTTTTTTTTGTTGAAAAGTAATTGATAATTGTATCTTAATAAAAAGCCATTTAAATGAGTCGTAATCTTACATTTTTTTATATGAAATCGCTAAGAAAAATCATAATCATAATTTTTAATGAATTTTTGTACATTTATCTCGCAAAATTAAATATTTTTAAACTAGCTTTAGGCTTTATTTATTTTTTTTTCCGGGAAGAAGGGATTCAAACTATTTTCGAGAGTAATTATTTTTTAATCGAATTTTCATCGACGATATGACATGTGCAACGTTGATCTAGTTGATGTTCATTAGCTCCTATTAGCCGACAGAATGCCAACGGTATTCAGTCAGCTAATATCCTCCACATGCTTGAGGTTTGATCAATTGAGATGTAATCGGCGCGAGTGAATACCAGATGTGACACAGATTATACGTGTAATCGTAATCTGTCTGTAATAAGTCTTTTATGATGGAAGATTTCGGTGTTTACACAAAAACACGTGTGTGTGTACTTAGACATGAAGACGAAAGCATATGATAGCTCATGATATTTTACAGAGAGAAATCAGTTCCTTCGGCAGTTGCTTTGTATATTTAAGATCAGTGAGAATATCAAAGGTGATTAGATTAGATGGACTAGATAACAGTTACATCATACCGACTGCGTAGGAATGTGATAGCAGTATAGTGTTTCAATCAAAGACGAATAAGTGCTCCGATAAAATTACAGACATTTTGTATAACAAAGAAATTACGAAATATGTTGAAACAAGTGTCATTTTATGCCACTCTAACCCCGGAGGAAAGGACTCGAGCGCACCCTTGCAAAAAGACTAAGTGGTAGGTTCTCTTCCCGAAGGATTCCGTACTATCCGGAAGTGAATCCTTTCCTCGTTTGTCTACAGTCTTGCGAATCTACGAAGATTTATTCGAACGAAACATCCTCTATAAGTCAAACTAATAATTATTTCTATCAATATAAATTAATCTTAATCCTGATTTAATTTGTGTTTTAATTTGTTTAATTTTTTTCTAATTTCTAAAATTAAAAAAAAAGATAAGTTAAATTAATTAAGAGATTAAAATTAATTTATATTGATAGAAATGGATAAAAGTTTCTAATGATTGTCTGGAAATCGAAAACTTAGGCGCAAACAGTGGTCTAATTTTTCCAGAATTACATAAAGTAAATTAATCGCGAATTCATTCTCCGAATTCTGAAAGTAAATTAATTTCTACAGTCTAACTAATTTTTCTTAATTCTAAAAACTTACTTTTCCTCAGCTCTTAGCAAAGTGGAACGGACTAAAAATATAAAGATATATTTCGTTTGTTTCAGCGTGATGATGTCCTCTACCGACTCGTCATCCCCGGCACAGGCATCGATATCTGCAACGAATCTCGATATGGTGGACCACGCGAGATTAGGCAAGATCAACACGACTTCTCTAACAACTTCGCAACCATTGAAATCCGAAGTGAAACCACTCGCGAAGGCCGATACCGATGTGATAGAGGAAGCTGTGCCGATTGTGCAAACGACGTTACCTGTGCCGGAGTCGGAAGCGAAAATCGAGAAGAATGGTCTCGACTTTAACGCGAAGAAATCGACCAACGAACCAGACGACGAATGTCTGATCAACTGCATTTATTATACACAACAATGTTGCGACTGCACAATAGTTTGAGATCATTCAACGTCCTTAGCTAGATAAATGCCGAAGAAGCAGCGTCTCCCGACTGCTCGGATCGTTTTTCGCGATCTCGAGGCGCCTCTCTTCAACGCAAAATTTAGGATCTGACATTGCATTAAATATTGCGCGTTAAGATACTTTGTGATAACGTGAAGTACAATAGTAGACAAATTTTGTGAATGTGTACGAATGAGCGTGTGATGTTCGTAATAATATGTACACAATAATTTTTGATATTGTATATTTCATCGAGCACATATTGTACGATTTAAAGTGATCGATAGGCATTTGCGTACCAATCAATTTATATTTCTAGAGTGTACTTCGCGGCAAAGGAAGTTGTACTTGCGAATGTTCACTGCCATTACCTGGTAAAAAATCGTGTCGACAGACATCGTAAAAGTCAATTATTAGTCCATAAGTCATTCCCTCGCAATATGTTATAGAACAAGTTAATTTCTATACCATTAGCATGTCTTCCTAACAATTTGACATTAATGTTTAATGTCAATGATGCGCAATCGACAGTATTAACCGCGACAATCGTCTATATCAGACATTTATATCTGTTTATAATTCTGTAAATTTGCGAGTTAAAAACAAGGATCTGTAATTATATAGGAGTATAAATCTTCTATTTGGAAATGAAATTTAATAATATCAAATTTTCCATATTGGTATAAGGATGCATTTATTATAAACGAAGAATAACCCGAGAACAAGTTTTTTTTTTTTTTTTACTGTATTGATAATTAGAAATAGTATAGAAGTAATATTTCTACAACGCAACTGATAATTAAATCGAATTGCTTAAATCGAATTTTCGCGTATTTGTTTAATTTATTCGTCTCCATCGTCAAGACAATTTGCAAAGTCTCTAAAAAATATTGTGTCGCTTATATATATATATATATATATATATCTTCTATATTTCAAATGTTATAATCTCATCGAAATTACGATTTAATCATCGCCGCGCAGTTTAAATGGCATTAAAAAATCGCGAAGATATTTCCAAATATTTCATATAAATATTTATATAAATATAAATCTTATATAAGTATTTATATTTTTATAATAATCGGAGACTGCAAGTATAGCGTGTAATTTATTCAAATTTATTCATAGATGAGGACTAGATTAGTTTGATAATATTACGTAGAAATTTAACGTGAAGGCAATATTAAATTATAAATATTAAATTTTTAAATGTATCATGGATACATGTCTTACAAATTTAGTTACACACAATTGTGAAACTGAAATTTCAAAAAACATAGGTAAGTACAGTAAGTGCTAAGATTCTTGCTAAACTTATTATTAATGAGAAAAAGTCAACAGTTACATATTCTCAATTGAAAATCTAAAACACTAATAGCATCTATTATTGATTTGACATTTTAGGCAAGTCTGATATTTTGGTAGGCGCAGCTAATGTTGCATACTTATTTATTATTTGAAATTGTATTTCGCCAATGATAAATAATTTAAACTGCAAGTGCTCTTTAGTCAATTTTCTCCATTCTATTTTTTCTCTATTCTAAGTCAGCCATTCTACATTTCTAAACTAAAAATTCTTTTGCTTTGTTTTTTTATTTGCAATTGTTATGTGATTATGTAAGAATTTCAATGTCAGGAAACAAATGAAAAAACATTTTCATTTCAAATAAAAATAGTCTATTAGAAACAGTTATTTCTAATAAAAATAATATATAATATAATAAAAATAAATATTAAAGAGAAATTTTTTAGAATAGAGAATTCGATAAGATAAAAATTTGATTTTGATGATTTGAGAAAAGAGGAAATTGACCGTTTTGTTTACTTCATAAATTAATAATTTCTTTTAGAAAAGAATTATAATGGAGGAAACGGGACAGTTTAAGACAATTTCACTTAAAAAACTTGGTAGATAGTCGGGAACAATTTTAAAATAAGCATGAGGATTCACTTTGTGTCACTCGATTTTGTTTCTATTGCGTTACGATTCGTATATTGGTAACGGATGGCCCTCTGAATTGAATACCCACCTATTCAAATCTATCAATTGCCTAGTGTCATCAAATAACAAGTACAAATATTTTAACGTTTCGGCAAACCAGAAACTTTCCGTCATATCCTGCTGACGGGTGTGTTGAATATTCCGGACGTTACCGATGCTCGTATAGCCACCTTCGACTTTGGTATAATTTTCGAAAGCCTGCCAACACGCGTTTTACATTAGAGACGAAACGATAAAACTCTAAGAGGAAAATAACACTCACCTGAAAGATCTGCCAACCCCAGTCTTGATACGTTTTATTCCCCGTAAAGTACCACATGTAAAATAGACTCTCGATTAATTCGGGCCTAAGTAAATTATGAGCGTCGTTTGTTTTTACATACATATCCATTTGTGTTTCACCCTCCATTTTCTACAGAGTCACAAAGCGATAATTAGTTCTTCGACGATTGTACTGCCAGCGATAGAGTCGCGACTACCCTTTCTATCTTTTATCCGGATAGATTGATCGAACTTACTTGTATATTAAAATAAGTAATCTCAGGTGCGAGGAACGTTGGCTGGATTGCATACGTTTGATAACAAGTCTTAACAAGTTCTTCCGCAAGAACATTGTGCTCAGATGGTAATCCGTGATGCACGCCTAACGCTAAAGTACCTCCTAAGTAGCATGTGAGATGATCCTACAATACAAATGTGCACAATATACGATTTTTACACTACTTTGTACTCGAGCTGTTTACCATCTTCGGTCTAATTTCTTTGTTGGCGCCGACCAATTCAGCGATGAATAGATATTTATTGACCGCTGTGTATTTAACGAGATGCTTCTGCGTACCAGCAATGCCTAACAAGTAATCGTCGCGTAGGCTAAAAATATCAACAATACAGAGATTGTTAAAGACACTTATTCTGTATGATTACAGAATCTGTAATGAAATATACTAACTAGTCTATGGTTTTTCCAGTTTGTAACCACTGTTTTAATAAGTATTCATAGTAACTATCGCCACGAGCTCCTAACGTAATAGTAGCGTACTCCCGAAACTGTCCGGTGTTAGCGTTAATAAAAATTGGAACTAAACCATCGTATTTTTCTAACTTATGTACATGTTCGGATACTTTCGCCGCCGCAGTCTGAAAAGATCACACGTTAGATAGTCATTACAAAACTGTTTAAAAGATCGCTCCGCTTCGTAAAATTACCTCGAACTTAAGTTGCCCTGTACTACGACTAAGATCACGAAATTCTAATTGAATGGAAGTAACTTCACTCGTACTACTATCTGGTCCCCATTTGGGGCTATGTGCACTTCTAGTACCTAGATTCACGTCAGAGTACGGAACGCCCGACCTGGTAGAAAACGCTGGCATCATACGATCACCTAAATCCATCTTGCAAATATATTGCAAATAAATTAGTAAATTAATTCATAGTTAATCGTTAAACTGACATTATTTCGAGACTCGAATTACTTACAGCTTTATTTAAGAAGAGTATATCACCCGAGAGATGATACGCTGCTAACAAACCACCTAACACTCTAATTGTAACTTCAAATAAATTAACATCTCTATTCATTGTAAACACTAAATTATCTTCTACCCATTTTCTCGCTTTTGAATATTCTAAAAGATTATATGAAAACTTTTTTTGATTTTTTTCTTTCTATTAATGAATATTTATATTTTAAATTCATGTACACACCATCATATAATCCCATTATATATATAGTATCCAATGAATCAACTATAGTGAGGCCTAAACCAAACCATTCGTGATATCTCTTTGATATTGGTTTGACGTTATCATGACCCCATGCATATTTTTTATACCCACTCCAGGAATGTTTAAATGCAGCTACAACAGCTTCTTGCCTATTGTTTTGTGGACCTAAAAGCCCCAAGCATTACAGCTTATGCCTATTATCCAATCTAATCTAATTATATTTGTCATAATTAATTGCATCGTGAATTATAATCTACCATTAAATCTCAAGATGTTTGGCTTTGGCTGTGGTGGTTCTCCAATTTGATCATCATCAACTTGATTAATTTCTGGCTGAAACTCAGGCTCCTCGATTACTTCACCAGGTGCAGCACCCTGTTCATCATTATCTACAACAACTTCATCTACTGCCTGCGAAGTAAAAGGAAATTTGGTATTTTCATATTCAGATTCAAGATCTGATCTTTAAGATATTATGTACCTTTTCATACTTGGCAGTTTCTTGTACAACTTCTACATTACTATAATCTACCTCATTGTCAGAGGTACCAGCTTTGGCTTCGCTAGGCAGGAGATAAAATATTACAAGTACAACTGTGATTATTGCAAAATACAGGATATTTCTTTGTAACCTGGACAGTTGGTTCCATTGCTGAAAGAAAGATGAACGGCCGAATGAGAGATAGCTGTACAGTGATTCCAATCAGTCGTATGGACGCAAACTAACAATGTATATACAATATTTTTCATTCAAAAATCATACGTACTCTCCACAAACTGCGCGAAGTGCCCCGGGCAAACGATGCACCTTCGTGAATATTTAAACTAATGTAATCTGATTTACCCGAGTCTCTTGGGGAGAACATATTTTCACGCAGGTTAACTTGTTCCGGCACGTGTGGAAATTTGTAGTGTTGCCAGAACACTTAAAGTACGACAATGCGACGGGTCAGCCCAACATACGATGGTCTTCATTTATACGATTTGCACGGTATATCCAATGCCTTTTTACATTTTCGTTTAATTCATATTATTATTGCTTTGTTAACGTGTACCCTGCACACGAAGCAGATGGCGTTCATGCGCCTTCATGTGCTCGTGTGTCGTGCTTCGTGCCGTTGTGTGTGTATATATACTCAACAGATCCTTGACATTGATGCCGCATGTGATTACCGCTTTGTACACGAAAGGTTGTAGTAAGACAGAAGCAATCGCCTGATAGTTCGTTTTTAAGGAGTTAATAAAAGGATTTAAAATACAGACCACAATGTGCCTCGCAAACATATCCGGCGTGCCGGATAAACACTGGCAGCCACCTTTCGTCGTCTTTGAGACTACGTAAGTGCATCACATTGTTTTTAACTGAAAAATTACTTCTCATGCAGCACAAACTTTACAGCTATTCCGCAACAACATTACTCCAATATTGTAACATTGCAGCAATGTCGCCGCAGTATAGTTGCAAAGTTTGCGCTGTATAGATCCTTACATATTGCTAATCGATTTCTAATCTTTAGGATGGGTGAGGTAACCTTTGAGTTATATTGGAAACATGCTCCTATTACATGTAGAAACTTTGCCGAGCTGACACGACGTGGATATTACAATGGTACCAAGTTTCACAGGGTCATCCGTGACTTTATGATTCAAGGTAATACATTAAAGGGCAAAATATATTATAAAAGCAATGTGAAAATTTTAAAGAATAAAACTCACATATCAATACAGAGTATCTTATTTTAAATTTTATGTTTCAGGTGGTGATCCTACTGGGACAGGAAAAGGTGGGATGTCCATCTATGGTGAATGTTTTGATGATGAAATACATGACGATTTGAAACATACAGGTAATTCTACTTTTAATGCTTTAACAATAATATTATTATAATGAAGTTATTTTAATTAAATAACTATGATGTTAAAATGTGTTTAGGTGCTGGGATATTATCAATGGCAAATTCTGGACCAGATACAAATGGTTCACAGTTCTTTATAACACTTGCGCCTACTCAGTGGCTTGATGGGAAACACACTATATTTGGTAAGCAATTATTTTATAGCAAACGTTAGCTGTACCTATTTATGCAACTGTTTTTATATTTTTATATTTCATGTTTTCTTTATTTAACAGGTAGAGTCCATTCTGGTATGGCAATAGTGAAAAGAATTGGTCTAGTTGAGACGGATAAAAATGATCGACCGGTAGACGATGTTAAAATTGTGAAAGGTTCCGTGAAAAACGCGTGATTTCTCTGACAAAATTTTACAAGATGTAAAAATCTTATTTTCTCAAATTTTAAAACAAGAATTTAAAAATAACGCATCGAAACATTAAAAATAAATGTCTTTATGTCTATGTAAATTATATATTATGATTGTAATAAAAAAATATCATTTAATCATGATAATCTGAGAAGAGAGTAGAAATTTTTATTTGTAACTTGCAATCTACGAAAATGTGCCACTACTCCAGTTTGGTGTGTATTTTTCGTGACTCGAAAAATCAATTTCTTTTTATTGGTAATAAAACAGCATAAACAGCCAAGTGCATCAAATTTATTTGACATAAGCCTATACTTTTTAGCTGAATTTTTTACACCGTTCATATTTTCTCTTTTCTTTTTCTTTCTCTTTTCTTTTCTTTTTCTCAATTTCGAACGCGGTTAAGATTATAGTGGCACCATCTGGAGGAATGACTTCGTCATTAATACAGCAAGAAACACTCACTGCATCGATGCCAACCAAATCCTATCGGTAAAATCAACGTGGTCGGCGTCGGCTGTAATCGTTTACCTCTATCACTTGTTCCGTCTTGACAAAGGGAAAATTCCAGCGAAGTATCCAATTGGGCAAATTATTCAACACATATAAATGCACTAAACACTACACTATATTTTATTGCTTATCATGCAATACATTTTACACTATGCAACACACTTCACTCGATATCCGCAATATCGATTTTCGCACGTGAAATCCAAATCGGAGTAACTCGAATGATTCAAATCGGAGCTGCAACCGTCCGCGACTGGCCACGATCGGAATATCGCAATTATAAGATGGACGCGGCGCGGATAATCGCGATATGTATTTACTACATATTTCGGCGTACTTCACTCGGCACCTCTTCCGATCGGCTGCACGCGCGTGAAATCTACTCGCGGCGATTTGAAAGCGCCTCGGATGCGAAGTGGCTTCGCTAAGAACCCACTTCGTACAACTGTCGAAGATGCCGAAATGAAGCGTCGCGGCGCTTGATTCGTCGATGCGTCGATCGCAATCACCATAATCGCCGTTAAACGCTACTAGATGCCATTAACTGCCATTAACCGCCATTAGCTGTTCTTCGATTGCATCTTCTAGTTCCGTTTCGATTTCGCGATTATTTAATTGTGAAGTAGTTTCGCTAAGAAACCTACTTGAAACTAGGAGGTGCAATCGAAGATGAGAGCAGCTAACGGCATTAATGGCGTCTAATGACGATTAATGGCGGTTATGACAATCGCGATCGACGCATTGAAAAATCAAGCGTCGCGACGCTTCATTCTGGCGTCCTCGATCACGATCAGGAGAGTCAATTGTTTTGAGACGAGATAAAAGCTCGTAATGTTTTGACGAAACATCGCGGAGTTGACTCCGAATTTGCGATATATCGCGGAGATACCACCCATCGTGATCATCTCCCGAACTGAACTCTTTGCGTCGCGTTGTCTCTCGGTGGTTGCTCGATCGTCACGAATAAGCTTATGTACGCGCATTCTTACTTTACTTACTTTACGATAGTTGCGAACAACGGGAACTCACATACTAAACTCGCTCGTCGAAAATACGGGCCGGCTTCGTGAGCTCGAAGTGCCATGTCGCGACGCGTCCCGTTGACTAAATTTGAAATGCTTACGATTCTCGAAGTAACGACACGACAGGCCAATCAGAGCGGTCGATTGAGCGTCAGGTGCGATTCTCGAAATCTTCTCTCGAATTCTCGAAATATCGTGACCAATCATAAAACGAATTCACTTCGAGCTAAGATCGACTTTTCAAGCTAAATAGCAAGTCTGCTTTATGATGACTTTAATATTTTTTGAAAAATTATGAAACATAAATTAAACAAAATAGATACGGTGATGTTTAAGGAAATTTTAATCAGAATATATGAATAAAATTTATGTAACGGAATTATCATGTTTATGTTAAAAAATACATATTATTTTCTTATAAAAAAAGGTTTTTTAGTAGTTCAAAATTATTATAACATACCTTGAAAATTTTAAAAGAATTGGTCATATGATTTCCTTAAAAAAGAATTCGAAAAAAATCTAATTTTTAGCGTATTACATGAGGCTCCCCCTGATATGATATATCACGCAAGTAATAAATATAATTATAATAAATAATAAATATGAATAAATAATAAATATAACATAATATTGTTTCATATTTTCTTATATTTTTAACTATAAATTTATTTTCAAGCAATATTTATCTGCAATAGAGGCCCTTCATCACTCCCGCCGATTTTAATCAGCAATCTTCTTTTTTTATACATATATTTTAAATTTTCTTATATTTATTATTTTTCATATAATATAATTTAATATAAAGGATATAAAAAGAAATTAAATATGGAAATACATAACTAAATAAAATATATGTTATGTAAATATGTTATATAACAATAATCTACAACAAAATAAAATTTGATAAGAATACAAATGTTTAATATAAAAAAAATGTCATATATGGTATAATTATAATATAATACAATAATAAAATTTGTATTGTTCGGTATAGCAACAAAAATTATTATTTATCGGGCGGAATATTTATCCAAAAACAATTTGAATTTATGCAGACTCTCTACTACCCTCGCCAATTTTAATTGGCCGTCCGCTTCTTTTGTACGCATGTGCACGTTTTAAATTGTTTAATATTTATTATTTGTATATAATTAAGTTTTTAATACCATACAATACAATACAAAATTAAATATGTGTACATAATATAAAATACAATAATAATACTATAAAAATATAGTTTTTCGCAAGATACAATAAAATAGGATACAATTATCAGGTCTCATTAATACAATAATTATGTACGTTTTACTTTTATTGAATTTTATTATAATATATGATATTTTATGATTTTTTATATAATATCATATATTATATAAAAAAATCATTTCATGATCGCAATTTCAATAATAAAATACAATAAAAATAAAAAATAGAATTATATAATGTAATTAATAATATACAATATATAAAGTAAGTATAGCGCTTTTATATTTCATTTATAAAATATTT